TTAATAAAAACTTGACTCGCGCTTTCAATAAATACCGTCTTATAATTTTCTGAAAAAATTAATTTAATTTTGATGTGGGAAGTGGCGGAATTTTATACACATCTTGAAATAACACATTTTTGAGTTCGTTATTTTTGAAATGAATTGTTATGCTTTGGTTCGCCAATTCACTGTAATATTTTTCAAACACCACTTTAACTGTTTGCGCCGCATTATCATTTGGGAAGTTTTTGAATTGTGACAGAAAGCATTTTTTAATATCAATTTTGCCAGTTGTGAATATATAAATCGATGAATTAGAAAGATCTGTAAATGTTTCATTTGGAAACGTACTTTTCTTTGTTTTGGACTTTGTAATTAAAATATTTGAAGGAGTCACCGTAACACGGGTGGACTCTACACACGTCAAATATATCCATTTACCGTTAGTGATAATGACATTGTCGCAATTTTGAATGTAAAGATAAGATGACACGACACCATCAAGACATACATCTCTACATTTTCCAAATAATAGCCATTTACTTCTTTTGAGTGAAGAAATGGTAAAAGTGACATTGCGACACTGTGAAATGATTGCTTTTTTTAAACTGCCAATAACGTCAATTTTAATAGTAATATTTCTTTGGATAACACACAACACAACACTAAGAATATTAACTCTAATGTTATCACAATTGTCTATAGTGACTTTAGTAGCCGCTATATTAAACAGTGTTATATTAGACATATGGTAGATTATCACTCTAGACAGTCGATAAGTTGAAAAATAGAGGTTTGTTATTAACGAGTTAATAATTTCAAAGTGATCAATCACACTCAAAAAACTTTCCATGTATTCACATTTATATTTGACTTCACTTCCTTCATTTAAGTGTTGGAGACTCTCAAATTCCAATTTCCTTGTTTCTTCTTGTTTTTCACTTGTTTTTTTAATACGTTCTAATGTCATATAATCACTATATTTGCTTTGAATGTTATTGTTGTTTTGCACATATCTGACCCACTTATCATAATCGCTCCCGCGCTTACCAAATAAGTCATATGGTTTAATTAATGATAATGAAAATATCTCAACTTCGTCAATTCCACATTTGTTAGTCAAAAACACTTTGTTACAAATATTAGCACCGCAAACAAAGTCACTTTGTGTTTCACTGGTGATACAATCAAACACGCTAATTTTGTGTCTCCACAAATTTAAAATAAGTTCGTCGTATTCAACACAATAAATATCACATAAAATACACTTCTCTAGAAAAACAAACACTTTTAAGAAACCGTTTTCAACTCTTTTGTTATTGCAAAGTATTTCACTGACTTCCTGTAATAAAACTTTGTCAGTGTTATTCCACAACACAACAGACTCAATACTTGGCAATGACATCACTCGTTCAACAATTTCTTTGTTTCGTATTGCCATGTTGATGTTCATTCGTTTCAATGCAATTAATTGGTCTATTTTTATATTTTTAAAATTTTTTGAAAAACAATAATATGACTCTATTTTTCGTGTTATTTCACTTGTTGTTTGATTAAATCTGAACCGTTGCTCGCGTAAAACATAATTATATAATGGTTGTGTTCGGACAATTCGAATTCGTTTGACTTTATTAAGAAGTTTATTGTTGCTCTCAAGCACCAACTCCCCACATTGCAACGTTTCGATCTTCGGAAATGTTTTTGCTATGAATTTTAACATGCAATCACAATAAATTTTTCTTTTGGAATAATTAAGTGTAAATGTTTCAATAGAAATGTTTATAAATGGGTTTATATGAAGAGAATTAATTGTTTGTTGACATTTCTTGTTGACTTTAATAAATGTTTTTAATGCGTCTATCGTGTTGAGATATAACGCGACGTTCATTAAATAAACACTTTCAAGTCGTTTCATTATTTTTGAAAGGCTGATCTAATTTTTAGTTTAAATAAAACAAATAATCAAAAAAAATATTAATTCATCAATTGAATTTAGTAAATTTATAATTTGAAACTCAAACTTCAAACTTTTTTACTTTATTAAACATTTGAATAACATATTTATTATAAAGTTTTTTAATTAAAAGTATTAAGTTGTAATATGAAATAATTAATCAATTACAATCAAATATCGTGTATAACAACAGCAAATGGTTCTATTGTTGTAAAAAATGGTTGGGCAAATTATTTATGTGTGAAGTGATAGATACAACAAAAGAATTTGACAACTTGTTTCATTAAAAACAAAACAAAACATATCATAATCAAAAAACAACACGTTTGGAAGACTCGAACATTGTATTGTAGTTCTGTGGTCGGTTAAAAGTTATTCATGTGAAACTGTAATAACTGTGTAAATGCCAGTTTGCTTTCCGAAAGAGTGTATTTGAAAATATTGAAAAAGTACCCACGACTAAAATAAAAATTTTTTAAAAAATGATCCAAAACATTCAGTTTGTTCACGGCATTTTGTGTTATTTCGAGTAAATAACAACAATGATAACACCATTTATTAAAAAAAGAATTAAATGATATTAACTTTATTTATGTTATTGGTTATGTTATTAGAAAATTGTATAAATAATAGTAATATTATTACTATTATCATTTATTATATTTAAAAATAAATAAAAAAAGAATAAATCAGGTTTTTAGAATAAATAAAGTGTTTAGACTTTTTAACTGAAACTATAAAATAAAAATTTTAAAACGAAAAAAAAAACAACTGTCAGATCATAAATGACAACACTCGACAGTTATCATATTATGATAGTTTCAAAATATTTCAAAACAATTGAAGACTATATTAACTTGGAATTGGTGTGTAAGAAATGCATTTGTAACATGGAAAAGTTTCATTTCAACCCGATTCCCCTAAGTTACAAAACGATAAAATACTTTCCAAACATCGAGACACTTCATTTATGGCACATGTATGATGAAAATTTTGGTAATGAGTTTCTTGTTGATCATCAAAATGATAAATGTCACCAAAATATTATTAAATGTAACAATGTTGTTGTAACAAAATCGTTTTATCAAATTGTCGTGTGGTTTCATGTATATTACCCCACAGTCGATCAATACAAAAATTTAAACTTCAAATTCAAAAATGTTATTTACACACAAAATGATCGTATCAAATTTGGGAATACAATACCATTATGTGTCACACAAATTGGACTATATTGTTTCAATGAATGTCAAAATCTGAGTAGTATCATATTACCATCAAATGTCACATCACTTGGGTTTGGGTGTTTTAGTTGTTGTAAATATTTAAGTAATATAGTTATACCAACCAGTGTCATATCAATTGACGATTATTGTTTTTATGAGTGTAGAAGTTTGAGTGATATAACAATACCTATAAATGTGACTACAATTGGTGATTATTGTTTTAGTAAATGTAATTGCCTTAGCTATGTTAATATTCCATCTAATGTCATCTCATTGGGTTTTGAGTGTTTTGATGGATGTAGTAGTCTAAGCAGTGTGGTAATACCGTTATGTTATACATCAATTGATGAAAATTGTTTTCCAGCAAATACCAAAATTTATGATCCAAATGGTCTAGTTAACCGATTTATTGTGTCAAAGTCGCAATATATTTAATCACATATATTCTTAACAAACAAGAAGTAATTTAGTGGTTTAATAAAATTTAAAGTTTTGTAACAATTTTGACAAAAACTGATTTGGGTTTGACCAGTTTAAAAAAAGAATTTGAAGTTTTTAAAAAAATTTACTCAACATTTTTTTTATTAATTCTGTAAATAATTACTAAACAACTTTTTAAAATAACATTCTATTAAAATAAACTACTACCATTATAATAACAGTCACAGTTATTAATATTCAACTAAAAGTTAATACCAGTGAACCTCCAGCTGGAATACAACAAAGCTCTTAATTGAAAATCGTATATCATCAGTTAAGTCGTCATGTTCGGCCTCGTAATTTTGAATTTTGCACATATTTTCATTAATACCTTTTTTGCTCACATACAAATCATAAGCAGGACCAAAAGAAAAAAGTGCTTTATTATTCTTTTGAGAGCCTATTTTCAGGTCGTAATTCTTTGAATAATTTCTATTTTTAAAAAGTCTACAGTTTAAAGTCCCATCTCTTACAAGCGAAAATAGAAATGACTTGCCAACGTTCACAATTGTGTTTTCCAAACTGATTTTACCAAAAAATGCGCCACCAAACTTGTTATTATTGGTGTCTTCTATTAGAAAACACACATTTTCCTTGTTCATGATTTTTCTTTCAAACACTGAATTGTTAAACGACCAGTTATCTATGTCTGAATTGAATATAACACTTTTGATCTTCATTCCAGTCATTGTTTCAAAAGATTTTTTCTCTTCAAGTGTTATATGTTCTTTTTTCAATCTCTCGGCTTCTTCATTTTCATCTTGTTGCTTTTTCAATTTAATAAATTCATCAACATCTTTCATATCATCAATTGTGTCGTTATTTGATTCAACAAATTCGTCAATAGCTTGTTTTATGTGTTTTTTATATAAGTCATATTTCTTTTCGGCAAGTGCCATACTGACATTAACCATTTCATACAACTTTTTGTTGTCATTTTACGTTGAATACATACTTAACTCACTTCGAATTTTATTGGACGTATCATCCAACTTTATGATAAGTTCGGTTAGTGATGTTGCTATGTTCTTTTTTTCTTAATTGTTTCACATAATTGATTTATATAATTCTCTGTATTAGACATGCGTTTAGCCATGTCAAGTGATACATCGTCCACGTATTTATCTCTATTCGATTTTTCCAAGTCTGAAATTTCTATTGCCAAGTTTTTGCAAAGTGTCGCTAGTGTATTCAAAACTTTATCCATATGTTTAATTATGTTCTTTGTATGCTGTAATAAACCCTTATTTATTTTAATAATTTTTTAAGTAATTTGTTAATTTTAATTAAAGTAAAAGAAAAGGGTATTTTTTTAAAAAAACCTACAAAAGGTATTAAAATTAACAATTATATTTTATTTGTTTGTTTATCCAAGTTTTCTTGTTATAACATTTACTGTTTTTATAATTTAATGATTAAACCCAATTAAATTAATAATTGTTTTAACAAGTTTCCAGTAACAAAATTAAAAATGTGTGTTGTTATTTTTAAACGTTACCTGGTAATTTCTAAATCAATAAAAGATGTAATAATCTGGAAGCCATTTTGAAGGTTGTTTTATTATTTTTAAACTTTAAATATTTTAATAAGTACATTTTTAAACTGTTGAAATGTTCATATTTTAAATAAAAAGGTGTTTACACAATTATTATCACACTTTTTAAATAATTTTTTATTATGACTGCCATTAATTATATATATATTAAAATTTAAACATATTAAAAATAAATTAAACAAGAAAAATCATACACAAAAATATAAAATGTTAAGTATAATATAAATTTAATTTATTTTTATATTTGTTTTTACAAATAATTTCATTAAAACAAGTTTTGTCACAAAAATGTAAAAATGACTTTTTTGAATAAAAAGTGTAATTTGTTAATTTTATGCCTATTTCACATTTTTTTTGAATTGTTTCTAAAGTTAAAGGGTTTCTTGAGGATAAGGTGTATCCTCAGGATCAAAGCTATCCTTATTAAAAAATATTTTTCTGAGGATACAAAAAATAAATCCATAAGGTTCAGTTCCCCATAAAGCCCACTCTCATACCCCAAGTTATAATTTACACTTAATATTTTGAGTCAAAGTTCAATTTTTAAATAATGGTAATAATTTGTCATAAATGCCAAAAAATTAAATACAATCAAAAAATCGTTACGATAATCAGTAAACAAAAACAATAATTATATCTCGCTTACTTGAGACGGGAAATAACAAATTGTGTATTCAACTTGTTCATATTATGATTATATACTTATTGAAATTATTTACGAATCCGTCTTTATAACATAATAATTAAAATCTACATTTAAATTGATAATTGTTTTTTTAATCAAAATGAAAATTGAAAAAGTCGAAAACACTGATTTAATAATAATGCATTTTTAAAAAAACAAATTTATTAATATTTTTGTAATTTATGCAATTATTCAAATTTATTATAATAACAAAGTTAATCATATTGTGTATAATTTAAAAAGAATGTTTCATTTTGATATTAACTTGTGTTTTAAACAGATTTACAGTTCTGAGGATGGCAATTATTTTCTGAGGATGACAGAAATAGAAAGTTTACACTTTTACATCTGTCTGAAATGTATATTGAGTAAGTTACTATTTTTGAATATGGGAACACGTCATTTCACTTTTTAGATGTTTGAGTCTGTGTTGATAATGTCTGTTTGTTACACGACTTACCATCCTCAGAGATATTTATAGCACTGCCACTATTGATTTAAAATAAATAATAAAATTATATTTTCAAAGATTATTTATAAAGTGGGTTTTTGTTAATTGATTATATCAAAAATCGTCAAAACACAACAAAAACGCCAAATAATAAATAAAATTGTTTATTGAATTAAAGATACATTTATTGAAATTAATATCGTATAATAAAAAAATAATATAAACATATATTTCTTGTGTATATATGTTTTGAAATATAAATAAAGCCGTTTAAAACAAAAATGATTTTATTTTACAAATTTGTTTATTTATCAATCGTTGTTTTATCGATCTTCAAAACCTCGCGTTTTGAATTTGCGCAAATACATAAATTGTCATCGCATAAAGTATACGTTATTAATATGTTATTTGCTATCAATTTTTATTGTTTGAAATATCATGAATTGATTCATAATAAATTGTATTTTTTGTGAAAAAGATTAAAAATTGTTAAATTAATTTGTTTTGTGATTTTGATAAATAAATCGACTTTTTCGATAAATTAAATTAATTTTTATTGTTTTCATATGAACCAAGGTTAGTCAAGTGGTAAATCAGAAAATAGAAATAGATTATTTTTTTGTAAAAATTAACTGAAAGAATCATCTTTCAAAAAATCCATAAATAGCATTTTTAAAGAAAATCATGTGTTTCAAAATATACCTTATTTATCTTAGGCAAAAAAATCTAAATTGAAAGAAATTATGTTTAAGATATTTACCATCGTCAGAAAAATTAACAATCCCCATGAATCCCTTAATAATTGCTATTTTTGTACTAAAAAAACTTTTTTGTGTCATCTGTTTTTTTTCATATTTTTCAAGTTACAAATATAGTTAATTTTTATTAATTTGTTCATTTTTATTAAATTACTTTTACTATCATAAAGTTCAATTTAATTGTTATGTTCTTTCATTGTGTTTTTATAAATAAAATACAAGTAAAATCATTAAATTCAATTTTTTAATATATTTTTTCTTTTTTTTTGATAATTCAAGAACTTGTTTACAAGTGAAAACAAAATGACAATTCCCAAAACTTTTAATAAATAGAAAACAAGAATTTTTTGTTTTATACTAACTGTTTATACATATCTATTAATGACTGACAAGCTTATTTTAAACGATTTGATATATCAATTTGAAGTAAATGCTATGATTTTTATATATATTTAACCAACCACAAAAGATTTTTAATCAAAAAAATAATTTACGAAAACAAATATCACGCAATATAATAAAACAATATAGTCATATTAAAAATCGTATTTATATTATATTTAAAACATGTAGTATTTATTAACAGCCAAATCAATTAATCTTCAAAACATGCAATTTTTGTTTTTGGCTTCAATACTCGCTATATCCAATGCTGAGTACTATGTCGAAAATTTGACAGACAATTATAAAGGTGAAGTTATGACATTCACAAAATATGAATTTGGATTCTGTTACCTTTTTACTGCGAACAAAGGTACTTCTTATAAGTACACCAAAGAAGGTGACAACGCCAAGTATTACACTTATTCGGATTCACAATGTCAAACTGGTGAAACGCTTAGCAAAACAATTACAATTGGTGGAACATCTGCAACTTCTTTCTTTGCTCCATCACATTTGTTCTTCATTAATGCATTCGATGAGAAAAATTGCCCAAATGCTGACCGACTCTATAGAACATATTATACTTCCAAAATTGACAAAACCAATTCACTTATAACTATTTTCAGTAAAGGAGATTATTGGAGGTATGAAGTCAGACCACTTGATGGCAAAGATTGGGTTTATTCAGTCTATTGCTCAGACGAAAATTGCAAAAATGTTGTTAATGCAGACAAGACTTATCAATGTAACACTTGTTATGGTACAACTAATATTTTGGTTCAATGTGGTGCATCTTCTTTATACATCATATCTTTCCTTCTTACTTTCATATTCTTCCTCTAATTAATTTTTTGGTTATTTATTTGTGAATTTTAACTATGTTATTCCTTATACATGAATCAAATAGATTTTTATTTCTTGTGATATATGTGTAAAAATGAAACAAACTCAAATTTTTTATTTAGTTATTTTTACTTCTGTTGTAATTTTTTAAAGTATTAAATTTGACTCTTATAAACTTAATTAGTTTATTCCTTAAAACTTTCACAAGTTATTTTTTATTTGTTTTTTAAATAAGTTAATTAATTGTTAACAGTAAAACTTTAGAATCAATTGTTGTTATAACACAATTATTAATTAAATAACAATAAACGTGTTATTTTTATTGTATTTATATGGTGTCATCAAACAATAAAAATTTTTAAAACAAATTCAAATGTTATATAATTACACACATTTTAGTATTTTTACTTATATAAATATTCAACACCTTTTAATTTAATTATATAAGAAAGTGTTTAATCAATGTATTCAATTAAAACATTTTTTCTTATTAAACAGTCATAACATTTAATATCAACAGTTTTTTTTGATATTTTTAATCCGCTTTAAATTTTTGCAATCAAAAAAAGATAATGAAATGATATTTTTGACATTTTTACCCAAACAAACTTCTATCGTATTTAACGGTATATTCGAAGACATATTTTTAACGTTGACTTCATCTAGAATTTTTAAAATGCCGTTTTTTCAATCCATTTTGGATCAACACAATACAACACAACAACTCCTTTGAAAATGTATTTGTATATTAGTAACGTGAATAAAAATACACGTTACTATTATATTTAGAGAAAAGTCGATACTTCCTTTAAAAATGAAACTTGGTAAGATATTTAGAAATTCAATGTTTTTGAAACTTAAACAGTTTTCAAATGCAAAACCGTTGGTGACATTTTTATCAAGAAATGTGACTGAAATTAAATCAGTACAATTGGATATTTTGAGTTTTGTATTTGAAGCGATACAAAGTTATTCAAGATAAGAATGTGTGAAGTTAAAACCCTCGTAATTAGAATAACTTGTTGGAAACACAAGTTTTCGTAATTGTTAATTATAACGTAAGGTGTTGATGTACATTTTTGTTATACCCTCTGGTAAAGAATGGGGAGAAA